ATGGAGAAACAGTGGCAGACTTTATTTTTTTGGCTCCAAAATCACTGCAGATGGTAACTGCAGCCATGAAATTACAAGACGCTTACTCCTTGGAAGAAAAGTTGTGACCAACTTAGACAGCATATTATTTTTTTTTTCTTTTTTTTTTCTTTTCATTTATTTTTATTAGTTGGAGGCTAATTACTTTACAACATTGCAGTGGTTTTTGTCATACATTGAAATGAATTAGCCATGGATTTACATGTATTCCCCATCCCACCTCCCTCTCCACCCGATCCCTCTGGGTCTTCCCAGTGCACCAGGCCCGAGCACTTGTCTCATGCATCCAACCTGGGCTGGTGATCTGTTTCACCCTAGATAATATACATGTTTCGATGCTGTTCTCTTGAAACATCCCACCCTCGCCTTCTCCCACAGAGTCCACAAGTCTGTTCTATACATCTGAGTCTCTTTTCCTGTTTTGCATATAGGGTTATCGTTACCATCTTTCTAAATTCCATATACTTAGACATCATATTAAAAAGCAGAGACATTACTTTGCCAACAAATGTCCGTCTAGTTAAAGATATGGTTTTTCCCGTAGTCATGTATGGATGTGAGAGTTGGACTATAAAGAAAGCTGAGTGCCGAAGAATTGAAGCTTTTGAACGGTGGTGTTAGAAAAGACTCTTGAGAGTCACTTGGACTGCAAGGAGATCCAACTTGTCCATCCTAAAGGAAATCAGTCCTGAATATTCATTGGAGGAATGATGCTGAAGCTGAAATTCCAATACTTTGGCCACCTGATGTGAAGAGCTGACTTGTTTGAAAAGACCCTGATGCTGGGAAAGATTGAAGGCGGGAGGAGAAGGGGTCCACAAAGGATGAGATGGTTGGATGGCATCACCGACTCGATGAATATGAGTTTGAGTAAGCTCCAGGAGTTGGTGATGGACAGGGTGGCCTGGTATTCTGCAGTCCATGGAGTCACAAATAGTTGGACAGGACTGAGCAACTGAACTGAATAGGAATATAGAGACTATATATTCTGCTTATGGAAGTATGAATGCATACAAGAGTTTTTGGGAGAGGAATTCTGTAATACATAATAAAACTGAAAAGATATATTCATGAATCCTAGAAAATCGATTTTCAGATTTATAACTGAGAAGTTTTTGATTGTGTATACCAGGAGACATGTACAAAGACGTTTGTTGCAGCATTGCTTGAAGAAAAATGTACCTGATTGGCTTTCAGTAGAGGAATGGATGAATAAATTTGATATAGTCATTAAGTGAGATACTTTCAGCAGTTAAAATAAATGGACTTCATCTAAAGTGTATCAACATGGAGAGATCTCAAAGACAGGGTTGAGTGAAAAAGACATTTGCAGACTATATACAGTGTAATGGCATTTTTATAAACATTTAAAAGCTTCTGGTAGAAGGGGAATATATTTAGATCTACGGTTTTTAAAAAAATCACGTTTTCACTTTCATGTTGGTTTGTCTAAAATATGCTTTCCTAAGTGGTCCCAAAGAATTTTCTTTATATGGGGGACTAAATGTACATTTTGTCACTCATTTGTTCAGTGGATTTTATTGAACATCTAACATGTACCAAATGATAATACAGCAGTGAGCAAAACAGATTGAGCCCATTTTCATGGAGTTTAAATTCTAGCCAAGGAAGATATCCAGTAAACAAATAAATTAATAAAAATACAAAATAGTGCAATAATGAAAAGGAAAGCAGGACAAAAGGAATAGAGAGTGATGGAAAGTATTTTACATGAAGAAGTAGTCAGAGAAGAAGTGCCTGTGAAAGATAATATCTAGTCATGAAGAAAGTGAACAGATAAGTTACATGGAGGAAGGGTCTTATAGGCTGACTGAAAAAGCCAGTGCAAGGCCCTACTCCTGCCTTGAGAAGCAGCAGGGAGGCCAGCATGGCAGGAGCTGAATGAATGAAGAATAGACTAGCATGAGATGAAATTAGAAAGATAGCAGAGGACTGGATCCTCTAGGAACATAGGACTAATGTGGTGGATGGTGTTGCTTTGAACACTTGGTTGAGAATAGCTCACGGGACTGATGCTGGAGGGTGTAAGGATAGACGCAGGGAAACCAGTTAGAAGGTTATTATAACACTTTTGAAAAGAAATGATGATGGTTTAGACCACGGTGGTGAGAAATGGTTGTATTTTTTATATACTATTTTTTAGCAGCAATTCTTAAACTATAGAAAACCCTCTTCAGTTTAGTCACTGTCGTGTCCGACTCTTTGCAACCCCATAGACCACGGCACGCCAGGCCTCCCTGTCCATCACCAACTCCCAGAGCTTGGTCAAACATGTCCATCTAGTCGGTGATGCCATCCAGCCATCTCATCCTCTGTCATCCTTTTCTCCTCCTGCTCTCAATCTGTCCCAGCATCAGGGTCTTTTCAAATGAGTCAGTTCTTCACGTCAGGTGGCCAAAGTATTGGCGCTTCAGCTTCAGCATCTCTCCTGCCAATGAATATTCAAGATTGATTTCCTTTAGGATGGACAAGTTGGATCTCGTTGCAGTCCAAGGGACTCTCAAGAGTTTTCTCCAACACCACAGTTCAAAAGCATCAACTCTTCCGTGCTCAGCTTTCCTTATGGTCCAACTCTTACATCGATACATGACTACTGGAAAAACCATAGCTTTGACTAGATAGACCTTTGTTGGCAAAGTCATGTCTCTGCTTTTTAATATGCTGCCTAGGTTGGTCATAACTTTTCTTCCAAGGAGCAAGCGTCTTTTAATTTCATGTCTACAGTCACCATATGCAGTGATTTTGGAGCCCAAGAAAATAAAGTCTCTCACTGTTTCCATTGCTTCCATGAAGTGATGGGACTGGATGCCATGGTCTTCATTTTTTGAATGTTGCATTTTAACACAGCTTTTTCACTCTTCTCTTTCACTTTCATCAAGAGGCTCTTTAGTTCTTCTTCACTTTCTGCCATTAAGGTGGTGTCATCTTTGTATCTGAGGTTATTGATATTTCTTCTGGTAATCTTGACTCCAGCTTGTGCTTCATCCATCCTGGCATTTCGCATGATGTACTCTGCGTATAAGTTAAATAAGCAGGGTAACAATATACAGTCTTGACGTACTCCTTTCCCAGTTTGGAACCAGTCTGTTCCATGTTTGGTTTTAACTGTTGCTTCCTGACCTGCATACAGGTTTCTCAGGAGGCAGGTAAGGTAGTTTGGTATTCCCATGTCTTAAAGAATTTTCCACAGTTTGTTATGATCCACAGTCAAAGACTTCGGTGTAATCAATAAAGCAAAAGTAGGTGTTTTTCTGAAACTCTCTTGCTTTTTCAGTGATCCAGCGGATATTGGCAATTTGGTCTCTGGTTCCTCTGCCTTTTCTGACTCCAACTTGAACATCTGGAAGTTCATGGATTACATACTGTTGAAGCCTGACTTGGAGAATTTTGAGCGTTAGTTTGCTAGCGTGTGAGATGAGTGCAGTTGTGTGGTAGTTTGAACATTCTTTGGCATTGCCTTTCATTGGGATTGGAATGAAAACTGATGGTGAGAAACAGTTGTATTTTTCATATATTATTTTTTCGCAGCAATTCTTAAACTATAGAAAACCCTCTTATCTCAGAGAAACTGTGGGAGTTAAGAAGTGAGAAAGATAGCATGCTTTAGCTGCTAATGAGTGAGAAGCTATACACACAATCTCAACATTCCCCGAAATTTTAAACTTCTAAAGATTTTCTATGGAACTGTGAGGAGGGGGTTTCAATTCCTTTTACCAAAAGGTATCATTTACTTTTCTTTTTCTGTTAATCATTCTGAATTTTGTAGTTGAGTTTAATACAGTCACACTTTGGTCTTTAAATAATGAAATTTGAAATTCAAGTATGAGGTAGAGTTTTGAGGTTACTGATTGCATTAACTGAATTGTGGTTTAAATACTTAGTTTTGCTTACTCCACAGATTAAATGTATAGCTATATGTAAAGGCAAATAACCATTCTTTGCATTTATGTAGCTCTAGAACCTTATATTGAGAATAATTTGGGTTGTAACATCTTTTATGATTGTATATAAACTATCTTTGAACTTTTGTATGATTTCATTGCATTTGCACTTTGATGTGTTAAGATTCAATTATTAGTTAAATTATTTTATACTGGCTTTTTTTATATATCAATTTTTCACTTTTTTCAGTAATTCTGTTAAATTTATATATAGTGGCTTTTGTGTTATTTCTAAGTATAGTCTTTTTCTCCAACTTATTGTCATATTAGCTAATCTGTTTTACTTTTATGTCTAGGGAGTCCCTGTGTGTGTGTCTGTGTGTGTATGAGAGGAGGGAGAAAGAGGGGAGGGGAAGAAAATCTACTTTTTTTTTTTTTGCCTTAACGAGCTGTATGTGGGATTTTAGTTCCCCAACCAAGAATCAAACCCACGTTCCCCTACAGTGGCAGCAAGGAGTCTAAACCACTGTACTGTCAGGAAACTCCCCAAGAGAATCTACTTTGTAACAAGTCTTTAGATATACAGATAATATTACACCATTATGGCTTTTAAATGCTAAACAAATCATTATCCAGAGTGGCAGGCATACAGTAAAAATCATAATTCATCATAAACATTATGTTCTATTTCTATATGTACTAATACATCTGCACTTTTATGTATGACTAGAAATTTAATTGTTTAAAATATCTGTTATAATGATAGAGCATAACAACAATAAGATTACTATAGCAATGAACTCAGAAAATATTCTGATCATCTTTTAGGATTGAATTTAGCACAATGAGTAGGAAATAGGTTTTTGTTTTGCTTTGTGAAAAATGCAGTTTTAGGCTCCGATGCCTACCTAATCTTAATAAGAAATTTAACTTATTTTTTTCATGGATATGAAAAAATGGATATGGATAGTGAATTACCATGTCTGTTTGAAAATACTTTGAATATTTAATAAATTTAAATTTGTTAGTCGTACTAATTTAACTTTCTTTTTCTTTTAGCAAAACTATACAATCTAAGGTGGACTGCATTTTGGTAAGTAAAATAACTAATCTTAAAGTCTTTTTGTTATAAGGCTTTTCCCACTATATAAAATATATTATTTTTGAGTAAATATTTATCTTAAATATAGCTGAGTTTTAGTGAATAAAATTTGACGTTTAATTACAACCATGGTGTGAACTGGCTATATGCTGTCTACTTTCCTATATGTCATCAATAATGAAATCATAATCTGAGGTAATTACATGTTTTTGAAACTTACTGGCTTTTACTACAGATCGCTTCAGCATTTATTAAAGTGAATGTGTAGCTTTCTATTCTAGTAATTCTTAAAGGATTTATTAAAGGAAAAATTTTAAATGTTTGATAGGTTAGTTTTCTTGTGGTGAGAGAAGTGAAAGTCGCTCAGTTGTGTCACTTTGCGACCCTATGGACTATATAGTCCATGAAATTCCTCAGGCCAGAATACTGGAGTGGGTAGCCTTTCCCTTCTCCAGGGGATCTTCCCAACCCAGAGATGGACCCCAGGTCTCCCACATTGCAGGCGGATTCTTTACCAGCTCAGTCACCAGGGAAGCCCAAGAATACTGGTGTGGGTAGCCTATCCCTTCTTCAGGGGAATCTTCCCAACCTAGGAATCGAACTGGGGTCTCCCTCATTGCAGGTGGATTCTTTACCATCTGAGCTACCAGGGAAGCCCTTTTCTTGTGGTAGTGTGTTTTTTATATTTGGGTTGCTAGACTTCAGGAATTAAAGTCACAGTAATAGTTTACATTTAGATTGGACTTTTAGACTATAAGAATTTGTTTAAATAAAAGCTTTTCAAAATACTTAATGTATTAGTTTTTGTTGCTATAATATACTTTTTGTCTTTGGACTGCTGGCCTTTGGGAGTTAAAGCCACAAAATGGTTTAAATTTAGATTTAAATGGTTTAAATTTATTTTCTGTTCCATTGATCTTCTCTTAAACATATAAGGGAAGAAGTATGCAGCTACTGAGACTACTGGAATAGTACTGACTTCTTTCATGGAAAGTTTATTAATGGAATGTTCCCTGAGCTGTAGAATATTCAGTGACTGCACTGTTAGATTCCCCAAAATGTCACTGTTGTTAGTCCTCTTTTTCTATTGTGACATTAGGACTTTCTTACTCAGGTTTGTGTCTTCATTATAAGCTACTTTTTTTTGTTAGGGAGCAGGGGTCTGCAGCGTCTGGTGCTAAAACAGTATATGATCTTTTTAGCTTATGATACTAGTTTCTAGGTAGGTGAGTAAATAACATTACTTCATAGGAGAACAGGTATGAAAGGTTCTCCTGTGCTTTTCTAACCTAATGTTTGAGAAAGAGTACTTTGTGGGGATGTTTTCCCCCCTTTTTTCAATACTCTAAAGTAGATGATCTTGTTAATTCCCTTTTACAAATGAAGAGACTCATGCTCTTGCATTTACTTAAAAAAAAAAAATTATTGGGCCAATGCTAAATATTTGGGAAACAAAAGGACATGTTGCCTTGCCCTCAAGAAATCCAGTCTGTTAAAACAGATTTAATAATTCTCTTAAGACCTAGGAAGGTAGTGATTGGGGATGAAGGGGTAACCTTACCCCCTGAGAGCATTTTCTGTTTCTCTCTACTCTCAAGAGTTCATATGTACTCTCAGTTGTTTATATCTATCATTCAGTAACTACTGCATAATTACTCTTTGCTAGACCCTGTCTGGGTGTCAAAATACAATGGTAAACAAGACAAGTACAGTTGCTATCTAAGACTCTTGGCTTTTTTTCTTTTAGTATCTGAGATAATATTGGAGGACTATTCAATTTTTCTTTTCATTGAGAAAGTTGAGACAGAAGACTGGTATAATTTATTAAATGTGGCATTTATAAAATACTAAATAAAAACAAAAAGGATTTTTAATCTTTTAAGAATTCAGAAGTGTTTCTATTTTAGCATGAATTTTAAAGTTATATATATATTTGATGAACAAGATAGTAAGATCTGTATCTTCATAAAGCTTACATTTTATTGAGTGAAGTAGACATTAAATGAATGGTAAAATAAGTTTTACAACTTAAGATAATAATAAATGCTATTACAAAAATTTTAAAAGACAAAAGGAGACAACTGACAGTGTATAGGGAATCTTTAGATTGTGTGATTAGGAGAAGTATCTGAGGAAATGACATTTGAAAAGAGACCTGAATAAGAAGAAGCCAGTATTGTGTAAAGATCTGACTGCGACAAATACTAGGGAGAGGGAACAGAAAGTACAAAAATTCTGAAACAGAAATGAGCCTGGAATGTTTGAAGAATATGAAGAACCCAGTGCACTGGAACTTAACGAAGGGAGGAGAGGGTGATAGGAGAAAAGAATAGCTATGGCAAATAGTATGTGTTTTATTCTAAGTGCATGGAATCCAATTAAAAGATTTCAAGTACAAGAATAGTATGATCTAATTTTCTTTTTTTTTAAAAAAAAATACCCTAGCAGTTGTTGGGAAATAGGCTTTTAGGGGTGTAAGAGTAGAAGCAGGGAAATCAGTTAGGCTGTTGGAAAAGTTGAAATAAGAATGCAAGGCGGTTGCGCGCTTGGAAGGGGAAGATAGGAAAGAATTAAGGATAATTCCTTTTGGTCTAAAAAATTTCCTTTAGTATTTTTACAAGGCAGGTTTGCTCACAATGAATTCTCTTGATCTGTCTTGATTTGTCTGTGAATGTCTATTTTACTTTCAGTTTTGAAGAATAGTTTTACTGGATATAGAATTCTTGATTCCTAGGTTTCTCTATAAAAAATTCCATCTCTTTGAATGTATCATTTCTCTACCTTTGGCCTTCATTGTTTCTGATGGAAAGTCAGTCATTAATCATGTTTTTTTCTGGTACATGATGAGTTGTTTTTCTCTTCTTGCTATCAAGATTCATTCATATATTCATTCACTCACCTACCTACTCTTGCTTTCAACAGTGAGACTGTTTTACATGTAGGTATGGATCACTTTGTGTTTATCCTACTTTGGGTTTGCTGAGTTTGCATCTGTAGATTAATCTGATTTGAGATGTTTTCAGCCATTATTTCTTCATATATGTATATTTTTGTCCCTTGGATTCCCCTCTCCATAGGAAGCTGCCATTACATGTAAGTTTAAATGATTGATTTTATCCCTCTAGTCTCTGGGATTTGTTCCTTTTTTGTCTGATTATCTTTCTTCATGTTCTACTTTCTCAACTTTTATTGAGATTCCTTGGTATTTTTTTCATTGTCACCAGGTTTTCCTTTTGATGTTTAAACACAGTCAACCTCATCCATGTGGAATAGGTCATGGGAGAAGCCCCAGACAGGAGTAAAACTGACTCTCACAGTTAATACCTGAAGTTCAGCAGTTTTTAATGATCAAACACTTCTCAGTATGTTGCCGTTAGTCAGTTTCCAAAGCCCTGAAATCATTTTTCCATCATTTTAGAGTTATTTGGGGGCGGCGGGGAGGGGGTGGCATCCTGGCCTATTCATTCCATTTGTTCTAGATATCTCAGCTTTCTCACATTGTTTTTATCATATTTTCTTCTAGAAGTTTTACGGTTTTAGCTTTTTGTATTAGGTCTGTGAGCCGATTTGATTTAAATTTATGTTTGGTATAAGATGAACTTCAGTGTTTATTTTTTTAACCAAATGGATAGATATCCAGTTGTTTAAGCACTGCTTATTAGGAAGTCTGCCGTGGGTCTTTGGCTAGAGTCTCTTTTTTCCCATCAGTTGCTATCTATCTTTATGATATCACCACACTGTCTTGTTTACGGTAGCTTTGTCAAAAGTCTTGCCATCAGGTAATGTAATGATTTGAATTGGTTTTGGCTTCTCCATACAAATTTCAGAATAATCTTGTCAATTTTTGTCAAAAAAAAAAAAAAGTCTACTGGGACTTGTTTGTGTTTCAGTGAATTTATTGATAGATTTGGGGCAGGTGGCTATCCTAATGACACATTTTCTAATCTATAAGCATGGTGTATCTCCATATTAGTTGATTTCTCTATAATTTCTCTTAGCAGTGTTTTCTGGTTTTATGTGTATTTTGCTTAAATTATTCCTAAATAAGATTTTGGATTTTATCACAAATGGCATTAAAAAGTGTTTATTATGTTTTATTATTGATTTGTATATTGATCTTGTAAGTATGCAGACTTAACTAAGTTCACATGTTACATCAAGTTTTTGAATTCTCTACCAAATCAATCATATTATCCATGAATAAAGAAAAGTTTAAACCAACTTCAGTCTAAATGTCTGTTCATTAATTTTTCTCACCTTATTCGCAACTACAACCTCCAGTTCAATTCTGAATAAAAATGATGAGAATTGGATTTCCTTTCCCTTGTTCTCAGTCTTAGGGGAAAACCATTTATTCATTCACCTTATAATGTGCTGTTAGTGTTAACTTTTTTATCAATGCTTTTTAAAAGTTATTCCATTCTGTTCCTTTTTTGTTAAGAGACTTTTTATCACAAATACATACTTGATTTTATCAAATGATTTTTTGCACTTACAGAAATAATCACATGGTACTTCTCTGTGATTCTGTTAACTTGATAAGTTATACTGATTAATTCTCCAAAGTCAACCATCTTTGCGTTCCCCTGGTAAGCTCCATATGGTGCATATACCTCCGTATGTTGTGTTATACTTTTATATACTGCTGCATTGGATTTGGAGAAGGCAATGGCAACCCACTCCAGTACTCTTGCCTGGCAAATCCCATGGATGGAGGAGCCTGGTAGGCTGCAGTCCATGGGGTCACTAAGAGTTGGACACGACTGAGCGACTTCACTTTCACTTTTCACTTTCATGCATTGGAGAAGGAAATGGCAACCCACTCCAGTGTTCTTGCCTGGAGAATCCCAGGGACAGGGGAGCCTGGTGGGCTGCTGTCTATGGGGTCGCACAGATTTGGACACAACTGAAGCGACTTAGCAGCAGCAGCAGCATTGGATTCGCTATTTTTTAAGACTATTTGTGTTAATTAGAGCTTTTGATCTGATGGT